CCCACGCACTCTATCCTGCCCCAGCCGGCACCGTCTATATGGAGGCGCCCGTCAACGAGTGGCAGCAGCTGCACCGCCAGCTGCAGGCGTCAGACCTCGTCGCGCTGCTGGAGGGCGACGACTTCCTGGCCACGCCGCCAGAGGGCCCCGAGGGCGTTACCGTGCTGTCGGACGCGGTCGCGCGGCGCCGGCGGCAGGCGGCCGCGGCGGAGGCGGCGGCGGCGGGGGCGTTTGGGGGGGAGGACGAGGACGACAGCCTGGTGGAGGGTGGCGGCGGCGACGGCTGGCTGCCGGAGCCGTGAGGGGGAAAAGGGGCAGCCGGCTGGCTGCCGCGATTGCGGCCACGCGCGTCCGGCCGGCCGGCAACCCGCGGCCGGCGGGCTTTCGCCGGCTGAATTGCGCCTTCCAAAGGGAAGGGCCCGTGCGCCGCCGCCACGCCCAGCGTCGTGCGCCGTCCAGCCACCTCATTCGACCTTGCTGCGTGCGACTCATGCCGCCCTTGGCGCGGCCTCGGCGCCGCACCCAGCAGGCGTGTATCTAAAGTTCCTTGTAATAACGCGCAGCGCGCGTCGCGACGCTAGCACTAGCAGAGCCTGTCTTAGCGTCGCTGACCTGCCATGTCCCAGACAGCGCCGAGACCGCCTGGCGGGGGCAGGTTGCATTACAACTAACGACATCAAAACCTATTCGTATGGCTGCGCAACGCAGCGGCTCATTCATACCAATAAACCATGCAAGGCCGTCATCAATATGCATGCTGGGGTTTTGTGTGAAGGCCTCGTGACCAACCACGAGCATCATGCGGGCATCCATTCTATAAGGCGTGCGCGGGGGTCGCAGCCGGCCGACGCTGAGTCAGCAGGAAGAGTGCGCGCTGGCAACACATCAATGCCCAGGCAAGGGCTGCATTAGTTTGCTCCGGGCACAACCGAGAGTATGCGGAGAAGGGTGTGGTGGTGCAGCATGCTCATTGATTGATGCAAGCCGGAGGCAGGTCATGGGGGGTGCATCTAGCCTGCAACATGTGCTGGCAAAGGGTCAACACATCTAAGACTGCAACGAATAATGGTCAACGCCTTCCAATTGTTGTGGCCAACTCGATGCTCACGCGGAATGCGGGCCGCCGCGCGTGCGGGGCGGCCGACATGCTTGATGCGGGGTGCTGTGGCATGGCCGATCGCACGCCATGCAGGCAGGGTTGGCGGCTGCATCGTCGGCGCCCCCACCGACCAATCGGCTGCGCTCCGATTTGAGCGACCCGTCAGTATCACCACCCATCAGCCGTGGCCGCGCAATGCAATGCCGCCCGACCTCCTCGGTCGCGCCTGTTGAAGGACGGGCGACGCGTAAGCGATGCGCCTCCCCACCGCTGCTGTCCGCCCGTGCAGGCCGCCGCTGCTTCGGCTGCTTTTGCAGCAGCCGCAGCAGGGGCAAAGCCCGCCCTCGCGGCTCGTCTCCAGCCCCCGCAGCGTCGCGCTACCGCGCCAGCGCGCGCCGCAGCCGCAGGCGGCCGAGGAGCCGCCACAGGACGCTCTGGCGCTCGTGCAGAAGCTGCTCGTGCCTCTTCTGGGCCTCAGCAATGACCTTGTCCACCGACTTGGGGGCGCCGAGCTTGGTCTCGTCCCTCTCATAGACCTGCGCGCACCCGTTGCGCTCCCGCACGGGGCCCTTGGGGGGTGGCAGCGGCGTGACTCCGTTGGCCTGCAGGGTCTTGTGCAGCACCCAGAGCCACAGCTGCGGGATGCTGGGGTGGCAGAAGTGGCTGCGGGGGCGCAGCGGGGGCGGCGGCGGGGCGGGAGCCGGGGCGGGGCCGGGCGGGAGGGTGAGGCGGGTGCGAGAGGTGGGCGTGCAAGTCTGGTATGTCTGCCCAAGGCAGCGGCCAGGGTCGCGCAGGCTGCTCTTGCGCAGTTCCAGGGACCGCCCTGCCCCTGACGGCCCCAACCAAGCGCACGAATCAAGCGCCGTGCGATAAAACCGAGCCGAGTGGAAGGAGGGCCGCCGCAAGCGGACCCTGACGTCGCATCCTTGGGGCCCAACGCGACAGGGGGGGGGCCACCGCCCTCTGCAGCCGCGACCCTGCGCAGTGACTGCCCTTGCGCGCCCTGCGGCACCCGCCACGCGCGCCCGCCGCGCGCGCCAACCTGCACTCCGTCCCCGCGTAGTTCTTGCGGTGCATGTCCCACGCCGCCACCGTCGTGTTGAAGATCGGCACCAGCGGCATGCCGTACTTCCCCTCCAAGATCCGCCGCGCGTCCAGGTTGCGCCACGTGCCCGCCGCGACGCGCTCCGCGACCTTGTCGCCCGCGCGCGCCGCGAGCGACCCGTCCTGCAGGTACGTCACGTTCTTGATCGGCCCGCACGTGTGGTTGCCGCGCCGCCGCTTCTTGTCATACAGCCAGGACGACTGGTAGTCGCCGTCGTGCGCGTCCGCAAAGTGCTGCTTGGGGGTCTCCATGAAGAAGAACCAGGGGTACTCCTCGCGCCTTGCGGCCCAGAACTCCCCGAGCTCGTGCAGGTGCTGTATGTAGGCCGGCCGCTGCACCTCCCCATGCCACAGCCCAAAGTTGAGGACGACGACGTCTTCCTTGTGCACGAGGCGGCCGCCGGTGATCAGCGGCAGCACGCCCGCCGCGGCGCGCGAGGTGTTGACGAACAGGTCGCCCTGGATGGCGTGGATCTGGGGCGGGCCCGGAGGGGCGAGATGAAAGTGGGTCAGGCGGTGAGGGCCGCAGGGCACCAGCCGAGGGGGTGCCGAACCCACAAGGCACACGAGACCGCAGCTTTGGCCCCCCAGACGGACGAGGGGAGGGGCCAGCGGGGCTGCGACCGCTGGGATGTGGCGGTGGGTGTTACGGCAGCGCAGGCCCACCCTGGCTCGCGGGCAGCCCTGCCGCCGCGTGCACTCTGGGGCGCTGACCTGGCACATGCGCGTATAGCCGGGCATGTGGATGCACGTCGGCTCCCCAAATCCAGGGAGGCTGTGCAGGTGGTGCATGGCTGTGAAGTTGTTGGTCAGGTGGTACTGCCTCAGGTCCCAAAACTCAATCATGAAACATTTGAAGGCCTGAGGGGAGCCATCAGGAGTGTGGTGTTGGGGCGAGTCGCAAGGATGGGATTGCGGGCTGCGCCTCGCGGTTTGTGCGCTGGCGCACTGGAGTGCTGCCAAATCGCGGTCCAAACTCCCGCTGCCACAACCATGCTGGCCTGCCAGACATGGTGAAAAGTCCCGTTGCCTAGCCCCACCGCTGCCGTGTGATCAGGCCATGTGCATCCTATCTGCAGGCCTCATCACCATCACCCCTGCCACAGCAGCGAAGGCCTGTCAGCTCGTGAGGCGCTCTCCCAGCAGCAAGTGGTGCGAAAGCATATGCGTTCCAGCTTGCACACGCACACACACAAGCACACAACGCACGCACACACACACACACGTGCGCGCGCGTTCTCACGCACGCAGACACACACACACACACACACACACACACACACACACACACGCACACACGCACACAAGCACACACACACACGCTCCATGAGCACGCGCACTGTTACATTGCGTGTGACCGCGTGCAGCCGCCCCCACCTTGATGAGGTCCTTCGACATCGAGTCCCCTATAATCCACAGGGTGCGCCCCTGCAGCTGCTTGAACAGATCGCACGGCGTCATCGTCAGCGCGCCGCGGATGTCGCTGTGGGGAGGCCAGCAGGGAGGGTGGGTATAATGGTCAGCGGCCGGTTCCTGCTCGTCAGGGTACCGCTGCTGCGACTGGCGCTGCTGCCATGGCCGCCGCTGCAATTGCCGCCATCGCCGGCGTTGCCGCCACGGCCGACGTCGCGGCTGAAGGTGCCGCTGCCTGCAGCTGCTGCCCTTGCTGCTGACACTGCCCCGGCTGCTGTCCTTGCCGCTCCCGTTGACTGCAGCGACCGCAGTTGCCAGGATGCATGTTGGATCATAAAATTCTGGCAGGCATCGAGCTCGAGCGTGCATAAATCCCTCATTCTCAGACCCCGTGACCTGCACAGACAAGCTGCCACCCACCTATGGCTGGCCGCCGTTGACAGGGCCAGGTCAATCGTCTTCTGCTCGCACAATTGCAGGTCCCAGTACGGCTGCTTGGTCTTGCGGCGTCCGCACCAGGTAGGCCATAGGCTGCGGCGGTGGCGGGCGGCGGCAGCGAGAGGCGGCGCGCGGGGCACAGGCGAGTGACGCCGCGGGTGACAGTGCAGGCGAGGGGCACATAGCATGATTGTGCACGATCAAAGGAACACTTCAAGTGCAAGCAAAACCAGCACCATGCGTGCGATGGCGTCCAGCAACCTCATGATGCCGAGTGACACGGGAGCGCCGCCGGGTGTGCGCATGGGTCGTGCTGCTTCACTGCACCGGCGTGCTCGGTGCTAGACGCACCTGCCGCGCTGGCAATTGACACAAAAACGCCCGTTCGGCTCGCTGCTGCTGTCAAAATTGTGGAATACGCCATCATAGAGCCACGGTCGCTTCTCCTTCGAGGCGATCTGCTCGAGCGTGTGACGTTCATACTCGAACGGACAATCAGGCTCCGTTTGTGAGACTTCACCCGACACCAGCGCGAGCGTCGCCAGTAGCAGCAAGAGGGCTGCCGCGCCAGGAGGTCGCATTGCAGCGCTCCCTCTGAATGGATACAAGCAGTCTCGGTCCTTAATACATGTTATAGAAGCATACAGGGAACGTTTCGTAATCGCGATGTATCGAGGACTGGACATTGGCTGCAGTTTGCCACCCATTCATGGCTCCCGATACCGGCAGAGTGACTCCGCAGCAGCGCGCGCCGGACACCCGTCCAGTGGGGCACAGCCCCGTTGCCAGTGATACGGCTTACTCCGCACCTCAAAAGTCCAGTATCAAGCATACTCACAGCTTGGGCAGTCCAGAAGGACACTCAGGCTGCAGCTGCCCGCAACCCAGCCCAAACACCGTAGATATGCTCAACATTTGCCTGGCACCCTACAAAACGGCACGCGGTTGCGACAAGGCAGGCGAGCGCCCCCGCCGCCCCGCGGGCCGGCCGTCACAACCCCGGCACGCTGACGACGCCGAGCCGTATCTGCTCCTTCACATACAGCACCTGCGCCTTGTGCTCGGGCTGCAGCTGGTTGATCTGCTCGTCCGTCATCGACGCGACCTGCCGCAGCAGCGCCGCCGTCTGCGGGTCCGCCGTTGCCGCCGCGGGTGCAGCCGGTGCGGGCGGCGGCGGCGGCTGCTGCAACTGCTGCTGCTGCGGCGGCGCGAGCGTCACCACCTGCTGCGGGGGCAGCCCGTGGTCAATCACCATGTGCGGCTGCAGCTGCACGACTGGCACTGGCTGGCCGCCCTGCAGCTGCACCACCTGCATCGGCTGCCCCCCGGGCCCCATCATGCCGCCTCCCGGGTGCTGCAGACCGATGGGGCCGCCCGCCGCCGATACCGGCATGGCTGCGCCGGGCATCTGCATGGGGCCGCCGTCTGGGAACGGGGCCTGTGGAACGCCGATGGGCACAGGGGCTGGGCCGGGGCCAGGGCCGGGCGCGAACTGCTGCGGCTGGCCGCCGTAAGGCTGCGGCTCCTGGGGCGGCGGCACGCTGGGCGCCTTGACCATGCCTAATGGAGGATGGGTGCGCGCAGGGCCGCAGTTGCAGAGGTTGCGGAGGCGTTTATTTGATGCGGACACACGTGCACCTGTGGATGGCTCTGCTCCCAGCGTTTTGCGGGACTCGCGCGGCGCGATGCGTGCTTTGGCACTGCCCGCATGCTTCGTGCTTGGCGAGCTGCCACACCATACGGCAGCTGCTGTGCACCTGCCGGCAGGCGGCCCAACACGTCGCCAGCAGCACCAGAGGTGCTGCAAAGCTTTGTAACTTGGCCTCTTTTGGCTGCCCAAACGCTGCTGTGTGCCGAGCTGGCAGCCTTGCTGCCCTGCAGCAAGGACTTACACGGCTCCAGACAAGCCATAGCCAATATCAAACAGCACTTGCCACCCTGCCCAAAGCGCCGCCTCAGCTTGTTCAAGTTTACGAGCAGCCCGCAATTGCGTGCTAAAGCTGCTGGCTTGCGGCAAAAGCTACGCGTGCCGCCCGCCTCGCCCACTCGGGCCGGCCTGCTGCGCCGCGGGCGCCCCCGAGGCACTGTTGGCAACCCACCCAGCAGTATCTGTCCCTGGAAGAGCGCCTTGGTGAGCCCGGGCCGCTCCGCAAAGTACTGGATGGCGCCCGCACGGTCCTGTGCAAAAGGAAGGGAGGGGCAGAGCCAGGAGGCAGTGCGGACGGGGTCTGGCAGCTGCAGAGGCTCCGGCTGCCGCCCACAAAGGTGTCCAGCAGGTGGTAACCTTGACTGCTGCAGTTCCATGACACTGATCGTAAAAGGGAAGCCCCATGCAGGGCGTGGCAAGACGCATCCCGGTCGCCGCCGGCCCAACCCCTGCTTTTGCGTTCAGACACGGACACACGCGCATGAACTCACAACAACAAGCACCCACACACCAGGTCACTCACGCACCCGCACGCGCGCGCACCCACCTGCGCTATGAGCGCCTTCATTTCCCGCATGATCTCGTAAAGCTGGGGCCGGCTCATGGAGGCAAAGGCCGCGTTGAGCTGCTCCTGGACCTCGGGGTCGCTGGACGCACTGCCGTTCAGCAGGGCCCGCACCTGCTGCGACGACATGGCCGCCGCCGGCATGCCGATGGGCTGCGGCGGGGCGCAAGGGACGGCGGGGAGGCCGGCGGGTGCGGTGGCGACCTGAGGGGCTGGCATGTCATGGCGAGGAAGCTGCAGGTTCCAGCCGTTGCACCCAACTGCACCGGCTCGCACGCAGGCCTTCAACACACACACACACACACACACACACACACACACACACACACACACACCTATAAATTCACACGCATAAAGCCCTGCAGGAGCATGCAGAGCGGTCTTGCTGGCTGCTCGCAATGCAGAGCCCTATCGACGTCGCCCCGACGCACCACACTCGGTGGGCCCTGAGGGGCCACTGGCGGCCGCCCGTCGCCGCCGCCGCCAGGCCCGCCGCCGCCGCCTGGTCTCCGTGTTTGGAAGTCTTCTGCAAAGTCTATCCGCATGGTGCGGCCGCCGAGCTCGTAACCATTCAGGTTGCGGTGCGCGCTCTCCGCAGTCGCCACGTCAAAGAATTCACAAAAGCCAAACCCCTTTGGCCGGCCGGTCTCGCGATCCGCGACAAGCCTGTGATAACATGCAACATCACCATCAGGGGTCAATGATAGAGCGACCACATGCGTCGGCAGCAAGAGGCGTACTGCAGCGGCAGCGGCAGTCGTGGGCAATGAACGAAGCGCATCCGCCAGTGCGCCGGTCATGTCTGGGTGCCGCACACCTGAAATTTTTGATTGGTCCTGCCGTGGTCAGGATCTCCTGCAGCTGCTGCTCCGTTGCATCAAACGGCAGGTTGCCCACTGCACCGAGAGGGCGGGCGAGTAGTGTTAAGCAGTGATCTGGTGGTGCCGGCCCAGCAACCGGGCTTCGCAGCTGCTCGCTCACCAAATACAGTTGATGATGGCGGCCGGCTCATCCTGCCCGCTGCAGCCTCGACACTCAAGCAGCACTGCAGGCTTTGTCGATCGATCAAGGCGTTCGGAGCGATGCTATACAGTATTTGGTAGGTCGTAATTTGACAAGGTATGCTTACTTGTGGCTTCCCCTGGGTGGCCTATGCTGATATCCATTGCCGCGCTCCGAACGCTCTTCCAGGTGCGCACATGTCATCGCCGTGCTGCCCACTTGCCTGCCAATGCTCCCCCAGCAACCTGGCACACTTGTGCCGTCGACCATCTGGCGCGGTAAAGCTGTTGTGTTTTGTGCCGTTTATCTCGCTGGCAAGCAGGTTGGGCAGAATTGCCACCACCCGTCCCTGAGCCAAGCCCCACCCTTGATGCGCCCACCCTTGCCACGACCCGCCACACGCACACATCACGCGCAACCTTGCGAGTGTGTGTCCAACTTGTGAGTATCACCGCATCAGATATCACTTTTTGGCCGCCAAGAGCAACCACCACATCCTTCCTTTGTCCCGCACCCCGCCTTTCCACACTCCACTCAACCTGCTGCCAGAGAGCCAACCCTGCCACAATGTGCCAGAAGTGCACCCTCGCAAGTATGTGCCTGCACATGCACCTTGTGTTCGATGACGTCAGACACACGTCACCCATGACCCTCATTGCCGCCAAGCAGCGCGCGGACAGAGCGATTGCACGTTCACAAAACTACCACATACATCAAGCAGTAATCTCATCATTGGGTTTGGTGGCAACAACCGGCAAGGTTGTGCAAAGAAACAACCGACGCTCAGAGGAAACAGCGCGCTGCGTTTGCGCCGGCCCTGACGCTGGCCCGGCGCATCTCTCCTGGGCCTGCCAACAAGACCCGCCGCGTGGGCCGCAGGCTGCAGGGCGGGCAGGGCGCGCCACCGCGCCCCAGCCATGGCACCGCCCGCTGCGCCCCCCCAACGGACCGCGGGAATTCCAGCGCGCTGCGCCTTCCCAACCAAGGCCGATGCGTCACCCACGCCTGCACTGCGCTTCGTTGCGACGGCGGCGGGCGCTGCGCCCGCCGTTTGCCTCAGTCCAGGTGGATGCTCTTGAATATGGCGCGCACGAACGTGAGCGAGGCGCGCCACCCCACCGTTCCCAGCATAAGGAAGAATCCATAGCAAACCATGAGGTTGTACCCAAAAAAGAAGGCTATTTGCATAAAACCAGACATGCCTGGAAGGGAATGGGGGGAAGTTGGTGGTGGGAAAGGGGGTGAGGGGTGGGCAAAATGCAGGGGGGCGGATCAGATGCGAGTGGGAGGCAGGCTGCTTGCATAGTTCAAGGGAATGCAGCAAGCCAGGGGCAGGCATTGGAGCATTTGAAAGCGAATAAACAGGCTTGGAAAGGGCATTTTGAGGAATGGTGTGGGACGATACAGGGGACTCGAGAGGTAGAGCAGGCAGGGCAGGAGGGACTCAATTGGACAAGATCAGGGTGATGCGTGCCGCCATCCAGTCACTGTCTGACCCCTGCTGAGGCGCCCTGCACCGCCACCCTGTGTAGGGGGTGAGCCAGCGCCCCCCTTGGCACGCACGCCCCCCCTGAGCCCCTCCCCCCAAAACCCCAAACCGAACGCGGGCATGACACGCAGGGGCGGCGCCGGGTTGCTGCGCCGCGCACCTGACCGCGCGAAAAAGTAGTACAGGCAGTAGCCGTACACGAAGAACGCGGTGCTGCCGCCGCACAGGAACGACCGCCACCACCACCGGTGGTCCTCCACCGCCAGCTGGAAGTAGGTGAGGGCCACTGTGACAAAGGCGGTGACGACGATGAGGATAATGTAGACTATGAAGAGGATGGACCAGATGATGTAGACCTTGTGGCCCCAGACACTCGCGAATATATAGTACAGCTGGGGAGGATGGGGTGTTGTTTGGGGGGGGGGGTGGAGGGTTGAGCACCGGGGACCTGGTTGGGCGGAGGGGGCGGACTGCGGTGCCGGCTGCCTGCACGGATTGGAATGCAGCAGCACAGGGCGGCCAGGCAGTGCACACGGCAATCACGCGTGCGCGCACCTCCACATAGATGGCGCTGAACGGCAGGAATCCTGCCATGATCATCTGCGCGAATGGAATGGATGGGGGTTTGAGCCAGGGTGAGCAGAGGGGTTTAGAGGAGGCAGGCGATGAAGCAGCAGTAAGGGATGTCCAGCCCAACATGCGTAAGGTGAGCCCCGAAGCCCGGCCTCCAGGCGACCTGCACCCTACTGCCCTGCTCAGGGACCAGGTGGGGCGACCCACTCTGCCCAGCCGTTCACCAGCCATGACCCAGCCATGAAGCCAACACAGCCTCGGAGCCCCCACATAAGCGCATGAACATGTGCACACGCACTCGCCCACACCCACCCAGCCACCCAGCCACCCTGCCTCTCCCCACCACACACACACACACACACACACACAAATGCACACCTGTGGCACTGTTGTGCGGTACCATGGC